TGTAGGTACTTACAGGAAAACTCAGGACCACTCAGATGAATGCCACCTGCATCCGACCTGTCTAAGCTGAGGTTACTCATCTCTGATGTCAGATGTGTGGAGGATTAGAATTGCTCTCTACACATCAGCTGCATCCTTAAGTATCTCAGCTCTCTCCTTGATCAGTCCACACTCCAGCTGCTCCATGCAGCATTGTCTCCTACTTATTCACCTGGAGCTAGGTCACAGGACACTGGTTCCTTTCTGCGATTTAGTCAGCATTGGGCCCCTAGTTAGTACCCCTTGGTCTAGTCCGTACCCACTCATTGGTCTCAAATAGGATCTGGCTCCAGCAACCAGGACCAGAGGCCATACCTTAACAGAGATGTAGAACTAGAGAATGGCAGATCCTAAAATAACTAAGCAAAATTTAGGATGAGCCAGAGAAAGAATACTTGAAAGTAGTACTATTCCTAAATACCTGGATTGCTATGCTGGCCCCTGCTATCTATGGTAAGAAAAACCTATTTACTCATTGTCTTCTGCCCCTTTTCCTTGTAATTACTTATATCTTAAAGAGGATTTATGGTTTCAATTTGACCATTTCTTCACTGAAAACAAGAGGTGGAGGGAAACCTACAGCCATTGAGTCATTTCTGATTGTTGGCAACCTTCCACCAGGTTTCTGAGGCTGTGAGTCTACATGAACAGACTACCCCATCTCTCCTTCTGATAGTAAAAAGAAATGAGGCAGTTTGTGTCTATAAAACATTGGAAATGCTATGGGGTGGTTGTCTTCTGTCCTCTGTTGCCATGAGACACCTAGAAGCTTGTGTTATATTTGAATTTTTTTTAATTGAATCTATGAATACACATAGTTTAATTATTTAGATTTTTAAAATAGATTTATTTTTTAAAGTCATATTTCCTTTCAATAAAAATAACTAATTACTGTTCAAACTGACTCATAGCAGACCCTCCACTATATTTTCAGAGACTATATATTACAAGATTTCTTGGAGATTTTAATTGGAGATTTCTCATTTCTCCAGCAGATAATTCGTATTATTTTTACCTTCTTCCTAGATTAGGATTTCTATCACCAAATACAGACAAAGAATAGGCAGGAAAATCAAAATAGTCTATAGTAGCAAAAATCCTGTTAGTGAATATCCTATAAGAATTATAGGGTAACTTGAACTTCTGAAGACTACTTTTTACATGTCTAGTTATGGATATTTTAAAGTGATTTTTTGTTTATCAGTTTGTATGAAGTGAGTTCTTTTAGTATAAAGAGCAAGGAAACTAGTTTTATTTACTGGTATTATGTCCCCTAGAATATATGTGTTTTAAATCCTGACCTCTCTGTTTGTGATTATAATCCTGTTGAAGGAAATAGCAAAAAATAAGGCCCCTGGAATAGATGGTATACCAATTGACATAGTTCAGCTAACAGATGCTGCCGTGGATGTGCTCACCAAGTTGTGCCAAGAAATCTGGAGAACAACCACTTGGCCAACTGACTGGAAGAAGTCTATATTTGTTCCCATCCCAAAGAAGGGCGACCCAACTGTGTGTGGAAACTACAGAACAATCTCATTGATTTCACATGCAAGCAAGATTCTACTGAAGATTATCCAAAAACGACTGGAACAGCACATCAGCAGAGAACTGCCGGAAGTCCAGGCTGGGTTTAGAAGGGGTCGTGGTACTAGGGATATCGTTGCTGATGTTAGATGGATCTTAGCTGAAAGCAGAGAATACCAGAAGAATGTCTATCTATGTTTCATTGATTATGCAAAGGCATTTGACTGTGTGGATCATAACAAACTGTGGCTGACTCTGAGAAGAATGGGAATCCCAGAACATTTAATCGTGCTAATGTGAAACCTATACTTGGACCAAGAGGCAGTCGTCAGAACAGAACAGAGCAGGGTAACACTGCATGGTTCAAAATTGGGAAGGGTGTACGTCAGGGATGTGTCCTGTCTCCATACCTTTTCAACCTGTATGCAGAGCAGATTATCCGAGAGGCTGGGCTCTATGAGGAGAAGTGTGGCGTTAGGATCGGTGGACGATCTATCAACAATCTGCGTTATGCAGATGACACAACCCTGCTCGCTGAAACTCAGGAGGACCTCATGCACTTACTGCAGAGGGTCAAGGACTGCAGCCTTCAATATGGACTGAGGCTCAATGTCAGGAAGACAAAAATTCTCACCACTGGACCAATCGGTAGCTTCAGGATGGATGGTGAAGAGATTGAGATTGTTCACAGCTTCAGTCTGCTCGGCTCCACGGCCAACACTCTTGGCACCAGTAGCCAGGAAATAAAAAAACGTATTGCAAGGGGAAAGTCTGCGGTTAGGGACCTCTCTAAAGTACTCAAGAGCAACGGTGTCTCTCTGGAGACTAAGGTGCGCCTGATACAGGCCATGGTTTTTGCAATCACTTGCTATGCATCAGAGAATTGGACAATGACTAGGGAAGATAGAAGGAGAATTGATGCCTTTGAGCTGTGGTGCTGGAGAAGAGTACTGAGGGTACCTTGGACTGCTAGGAAAACCACTAGATTCATCCTGGAAAGGGTCAAACTGGGCGGTCCCTTGAAGACAAGGATTCTGAGACTCCGACTAACATACTTTGAACATGTTGTAAGGAGGGACCGGTCCTTGGAGAAGGACATCATGCTTGGGAGGGTGGAGGGACAGCACAGGAGGGAAAGGCCCTCTATGAGGTGGATTGATTCAGTGACTGGGATAATCGGGATGGGAGTGTCAGAAACAGTGAGATTGGCACAGGACAGAGCAGAGTTTAGGGCTGTTGTGCATAGGGTCACTATGAGTCACAAATGACTCGATGGCACATAACAACAGCAACAACAAGGAATGGGTTGTTTTTATGTTACTAGGGCATAATTAATGTGGGATGTATTTTGAATGCATCTCTTTAGAGATGTAGACAATTAAAGAAACAAGAAAAGCAGAGATGGTCTTATGCCGTATTTGTCCTTAAAGAGACTGTGTTAGTTCACTCAGTAGAATGCTCTCCAGTCTCTCCCAAGTTATGTAGCAATTTTTCAGATCGGTGCTCCTGAATGTACCACAGTTTCTCAATCCTTTCAATTGTAGTTGGGCATTTGGATTGTTCCCATATCCTTGCAATTGCAAGTAACGCTGTTATGAACATTGTCCATTTGTGCCTCAGTTCTGTTTTCCTCGTGGTATATTCCTAGCAGTGGATTAGCTGGGTTATATGGAATTTCTATTTTCAGCTCTTTGAGAAAATGTCAAACTGCCTTCCAAAATGGTTGTTCCATTTTAAAATCACACCAACACTATATGAGAGTTCCTCTCTCTCCACATCTTCTCTAACATTCATTACTTGCTGTCTTGTTAAACTTTGCTACTGCTACTGGGGTAAGATGCTATCTCATTATGGTTTTTATTTACATCTTTCTTACAGTCAGTGATTTTGAGCATTTCTTCATATGTCTGTTGGCCAGATCCATGGGGGAGAGGGGGATGAGGATGGACAAGGGAGGAAGTCATAGGTTCACACAGTTTGGTGGGTGGAGGGAAGGAGGTAAAGGATATGGGAAAGATCTGGCAGAATCAAAAAACGGGGTAATGGTAAGCTTAGTTCAACGACAGTTAATTTTACAAAACACAGTTGAATGGGAATGATTGTATGAAACATAATGTGAATGAAGGATAGTATCAAACATATATTAATTTTGTATGCATAACAATATAAAATAAAAATTGGGGGAGGGGAAAAGAGCAGAGATGGGATAAGATAGATGCCAAGACACCTGGAGATTTCTAAGGACCGGGAAGCAGAAGCTGAAGTGACAGAGCTGGCAATGAGAAAGCCTTATCAAATTTTAGCAAATTGGGTCTTCCAGAGAATTTTAACTTAACAGCCTTCTAAACTGTGAGAAAGTAAGTTTCTGTTTGGTAAAGCCATCCACTTGTGTTATTTTTCTTTTATCAGCACTAGATAACTAGAAACCTTCACATATTTCCAGTGACATCTTGCTTTCTGATCCTTTTCTTTCATTTGCTATGACTGTTATAACAGCACATACTAAGAACTTTGCATTTACTAAAAAATGCAGTAAAAAATATTGAGACTCTTCTTGATACACTAAGAGTGTCTTCAAAATAGCATTTATTAGAAGTTGCTATTTTTCTGATTAAGAGGTTTTTTTTAATTCTTAAAATTACTTGCCTCTTATTTTCCAAATAATATTATTTTCATTATTAACTTCTGTAGGACAGCTTTCATTGTGAAAGTTTAATATGAAAGGTAGAAATTTATTCAAGACTGCCAGAAATAGAGTCACAAATTATTAGTTCATATTGTCTGAAATTAGAGATTTATTATATTTATTTGTTTTTAAAGAAGGAAAATTACATTATTTGGGATATCATTAGGTAATAAAATGAATAACATTACTTTCTATTTCTCTAAGTAGCTACTATAAAAATCTTCACTGGCAAGAATTGTCATCTAGTACCTTCCCCTTACACATACGCCTCCCCTAAATGTTTGGAAGACGTTAACATTTTATTAAATTCTACTATGTTGCTGTTTGTTTTATTCTTGCACTTAATGAAACAATTCTTTGTGGAAAGCATATTGTGATTTTGACTTTTGATGTCTAAGATGTGCACTGTTTGTTTACAAGTCTTGCTCTACAGTGTTTCCATTCTCATATGATATAGACATATTTTTAACTATGTGACTCCCAAACCCACGATTAAGCCAGCCTATCCAGGTAACTGAAATTAATTTCTCTGTGTAGAGAGAAAATAATGATGGACAGCATGTGGTCATTATCTTTAGTAATATTTTTTTTAATCTTTAGTAATATTTATACCTTTTAACTAAACTATTAAAATTTATTAAAACTTGAAACTATCGGAAACTTTACTACAACTATTGACTGAAAATCATTCTGATGACTTTTCCCTTTCCCTTTTCCTTTCCCTTTTTTCCTGCTGCTTTCTCTGAAGTCTCCTTCTAAATGGTTTTGGAAACTGGTTCCAGTAAGTTTGCTCAACTTTTTTGATTTGCTATCCAGAACTGTAAACATAGAGTTGTACTATTGATGCCTTGCTTGTGTAGTCACTTACATAGAGTCTATTAGTCACTCCATGGGACTTGTGTTTTACGGTCATTGACAATAGTATAAAATAGAAAAATTAAAATCTAGCCAAAGGTTGGTTGATAAGTGATTTTTTACACTAATTCATGAGTTAAGCATCTCTTTGCTAATCTTGCCAATACGCTCAAACTATCAGTCAGGAAGGAGATAAAATTCTTAATCTGTTTTCTCATTAGTTTGTAATCATTTTAGTAAAAGTGACTCTTAATTACATGTGTAAACTATTGGTATTTCAAAATGGTTTTTGACAAAAAAAATTCCTTTTCAGCTGAGTTGTAGAGAATCATTTTTATGGATTATAAATGTTACTGGTTTCCCCTGCGTCCTAACTTTTGGATCTAAACTCTGATTTGACTTGAAAGGTTGATTTTTCAATCTTTTCAAGATTAAATCCACACATATTTTACATAGTCTAGAATGAAAATATGACTTAGAAATACACAAAACTGTTGAAATATAGAAATATGCTATTAAAGTATGCTGCTGTTGTTGTTGTTGTTATTGTTATGTTCCATCAAGTTGCCTGTGACTCACAGCAACTCTGTTTACATAAGCTCTAAACCCTGCCCTATCTTGAATCCCATTTCTCCTGTCACTGAGTCAATCCATTTCATCCAGGGTCTTCCTCTCTTGTACTGTCCCTCTCCAAGGATTGGTCCCTCCTGACCACATGCCCAAAGTATGTGAGACAGAGCTTAAAAATCCTAGCCTCCAAAAAGCAAAAGAACTAGCCATATAACATTTATGAACTGCCGATAAACTTTGTGAAAGTTGGGGGGGGGAAACCCTCTCAATATTTAGTGTTGTTTTACTTGATGTATCTTCTAAAGTACAGAATAGGAAAATGTTTAGGCATGTCACTAATAATTCTCTGATTGTCTAGAAATAGAGACTTTTTTCCCTTTTTTAAAAAAATTAATTTCAATGAACATCTGCAGAGATTTTGGACTTCCATTCATTCATTGTTGCACTTTTCTCCCCAACCACCCCACCCCCACCCCCAGTTCGCTCCTCAAAAAGCAAAAGAAAAACTCTTTCATTGGTATACAATCCCCACCCCCCGCACACCGCCACCCTTACTCCAAGTATACTCCACTCTGCAACCCTTATTCTGAACTCTTATGATAATCATAATGCCCTAAAATATATTACCTTTAAACTATTCTCTCCCTCATCCGCTTCTGTTAAAGCTGTGTGTGTACGTGCCTTATACAGAATTATTACTTGGCAAAGACCTAGTGAATAAATGACTTGATTTGGTCCTTTGTTTTGTGACCATGGGTACTCATCTCAGTCTATTTGGGTTTACAGACTGAAAACAAACTAGTCCTAGACAAGATCTAGTCAGAGTACAGCCCTATTTAGGATTTCCTAATAGACAAAGTATTTGTTTCTAGATAGCCGAAGAAAAGAGTGTAAAGATCTAGAGCAGTGCTTACAAAATGTGAGGAAAGTAGCTGGCGGCCAGAGATACTACATAATAGGTTGATTTCTTTTTTCCTTCTTTCCTCTTGCTCCTTTTTTTCTTTTTTTTTATTTTTTAACTGCCTCTTATTAGCACAGTGAAGGAATTTTGTAATCGGGATGGGCGTATCAGAGACAGTGCGATTGGCACAGGACAGAGTTGAGTTTAGGGCTGTTGTGCATAGGGTCGCTATGAGTCGCAAACGACTCGACGGCACACAACTACAACAACATTATTTTAACATTAGTAAGAAATAAAGAATCTATATATCTAAGTTTGAGTGGGAGGGTGTGTGTGTAAGAGACACAAAGACTACAGATACTATCTCTGAGTTAGGAATGTTCTATTAGATGCAGATATTAGCCTTCACTGATTTAATAGGAAAAAACTGAAAACCTTGAAGAGGAAATATGTTTATGTATCTTGTGCTAGGGTAGCCAGTCACACACACACATACACACATGCGCACGTGTGCGCAAAATATTAATAATAATAAAATTTTTAAAAAGCAACTTTTGAGAATGATTCCATGATAGCAGCATCAGAGTTAAATTCTGTTTTACTTAGGGTCAGAATGAGTTGGAACCACCACCAACAACAACGCTTTTAGATTGTTGTTGACACTAACACTTTTTGACAACAACAAGGAGTACTATTTAAGTATGTATAACCTATTTAGTAATAAAGTTTGCTATTAGTTCTGTACGCCATCATTATTTAGCATTATTTTTCTTGGCTTCAAGAGAGCTTATATGCAATAGCTAGCTAGCATTTAGCAATTGCTGTCCATATACATAGCACTTTATGTCCATCATTTCATTTAATCCTCCGGTAATTCATTACACTTCCTTTTCTAGATGAGAAAATGAGAGTTTAAATATTTTCCGAATATCTCAGGGCTAATGTGTGTGAGAGAATGTGGCTGATGTGTGGCTTAGTAGTAAGGAACTATCCTGCTAACACAAAGCTGGTGGTTGTTGTTATGTGCCATTGGGTCGCCTGCGACTCATATCCACCAGCAGCTCAATGGAAGAATGATGGCCAGTCAACTTCTCTGTGATTCACTGCTTCACTACCTCTGAAAAACTCTTTGGAGGATCAGTTGTGAGTCTGTTTCAACTCTGTGGCACATTAGCAGCACCAATATATGACACAGTCAGGATTCACACTTGGTGAGTCTGATTCAAGAAGCAGTGGTTGTTTGGTAGCTAAAGCAGTTAGCTGCATCCCAAAAGACCTGCTGTACAAATCTACTGGCTGGTCCTCAGAAAAAAAAAAAAAGATACATATACAACCTTCGAAACCCTCTAATGGCACATAACAAAACAAGTCGGATTCAAAAGCTTCTTTCCTTAATTGTTTGTTTCAACATTAAAATTATAAACCATGATATCTTGATGAGATTGTCTCCGTCTATAAAAGTATTGTTTCTTCTTATTGCTAGGTGTCTTTTAGAGGTGGTACCGTGTTGAGTCCCTGAGTTTTGATAACTCCCCTCAGTAATTCTTTTTGCATAGTATTCTTGCTCTTTCTGTAGAATTTTGAATCTTTCTGTATACAAACTTTACATTTAAATTAAGCCTAAATTAAGCCTAACATTAAATGGGTTTTATTTGCAAAAGAACAGAACTGATGATTTGGATACCAAGTGTTCAGAAATCTGTTTTGTGATACTTCATGTTTTAAGTTTTTAAACTAAATTCTGTTTCATGTAAATTAGCAATATAATAATGTAGCTTTGAAACCATCTCATTGCAGTGTATTTCACGTTAGGTAATTTCTAGTGGTTTGAATAGTTCTTGATTTTTTAAACTTTCATGTTTCTATCTGCAATTTTTCTTATATACACTATCGAGTACTTATTTCATCTCTTTTATATTGTAGGCTCGTTATAGGAAGGAACAAACATTACTTAAGCAACTGCCTTGCATTCCATTGGTAGAAAATTTATTAAAGGATGGTACAGATGGCTGTGCTTTAGCTGCTCTTATTCATTTTTACTGTCCTGATGTTGTCAGACTAGAAGGTAAGTATTCTGTTGATATATTGAGGCCATAGATGTACAACAGCACTAAACTCTGCTCTGTCCTGTGCCAATCTCACTGTTTCTGACACTCCCATCCCGATTAACCCAGTCACTGAATCAATCCACCTCATATAGGGCCTTCCCCTCCTGCGCTGTCCCTCCACCCTACCAAGCATTATGTCTCTCTCCAAGGACCGGTCCCTCCTTACAACATGTCCAAAGTATGTTAGTCGGAGCCTCAGAAAGGGTTTGACCCTTTCCAGGATGAATCTATTTGTTTTCCTAGCAGTCCGTGGTACCCTCAGTACTCTTCTCCAGCACCACAGCTCAAAGGCATCAATTCTCCTATCCTCCTTAGTCATTGTCCAACTCTCTGATGCATAATAAGTGATTGCAAAGACCATGGCCTGTATCAGATGCACCTTAGTCTCCAGAGAGACACCATTGTTCCTCACTACTTTGGAGAGGTCCCTAACTGCAGACTTTCCCATAGCAATACGTCTTTTAATCTCCATAGATAGAGGGTAACAAATACTTAAAACCGTATTTAATCGGTAAAGAAAACTTTTTTAAAAAGTACGTTTATGTATAAATCTTAAAAGATGTTGAGAAAAGTAAGGTGGATTTCTGTTTCTTGCTATGTAACAAGTGTGTTAATACATGTACATGTGTTTAACAGGTTGTGCATGTTTGTATATTTGTATAAAATCACTAATTAAAAAGTAGTTATATAATATTACCAGTTTAACCTTGCTCTTTTTCTGTTTGAAGATATTTGCTTAAAAGAAACTATGTCTTTGGCTGATAGCCTATATAATCTGCAACTTATCCAAGAGTTTTGCCAAGAATACCTGAACCAGTGTTGCCATTTCACCCTTGAAGATATGCTCTATGCTGCTTCATCCATAAAGGTATCTTCCTTTACTTTGTTAAAGTTTATTGGGAAAAGATTTAATTAGATACATAAATGACCTACTCATCTTAAGTTTACAATTATATCAATCAAAAGAGATTTAAAAAATTTTGTGGGTTTTTAAATAAGTTTTTCTACTAACTTTATTTTGTTTGTTTATGTTGGGGTTTTTGGTTTGTTTTGAGGTGTTTTATTTTCCTTGAATTTGTATTGGTTTGCATGCGATCATTCATATGCACCATGTTTTGTTCATATTGGTTTACTTATAAAGTTTGTATACTTTTTTTCCCAAACTATTCTTCATTCAATCAATTCAGTGTTTCATACAGTCATTCCCATGCGTTATGTTTTGGAAAATAAATCACCATTGGACTATGCTCAAAAATACTCTGTCTTTTTAGGTCTCCAACAGATCTTTCTCATTTCCTTTACCCCCTCCCTCCACCCATCAAATAGTGCAACCCTATAATTTCACCCCTACCCATCCTCACCCCTCTTCTCCCACCCCTTAACTCCTTGAGTCTCCATAGATATATTTTCCTAGTTGTCTTTCTATTTTTACAATAATGGTCTTATGCAGCATTTGTTCTTATGAAACTGAATTTACTCAGCATAATGCTCTCGAGTCTCTCCCAAGTAGTAATTTTTGACATCATTGCTCCCAAGTACTGAATAGTATTCCATTGTATGAATGTACTACAACTTCTCAATCCATTCATTTGTGGTTGGACATTTGAATTGTTTCCCTGTTCTTATGATGGTGAATAATGCTGATAGGAACATTGGTGTACAGTTCTCCATTTGTGTCTCAGTGGGAGGCCTACTAGCACTCTCTGACCTTAAAACCTACTATACAACAGTAGTAAGAAAACGGCATGGTACTGTTACTTCTGTTTCTGTCTTCAAATCTTTTTTATTTCTCAGATCTGTCATTTGGTATATAGATGTTAACCAAGGTTATGTCTTCTTGATGAATTGTGCCTTTAATTGTTACATAGTACCCTTCCTTATTTTTTGTGGTAGTTTTCATCCTGAAGTCTATTTTATCAGAGATAGTATTGGCACGCCTGCTTTTTAGTGGATGCATCTGTTACTCTTTTTCTGTTAATGTAAATCATTCATGTCAAGTGTGAACAGGCCAGGTTGCTGTGTTTTCTTTTTATGTTGTTGCTGGTTACTTTGATCCAGCCACTTGCTTTTGCACTGAGTAAAAGGACTTCCCTTAGTATTTCTTGTAAAGTTGGTCTTGTTTTCCTGAGTTCCTTAGGTTTCTGCTTTTCTGCAAATGACGTTATTTCTCTGTCACATTTGATGGATAGTTTTGCTGGGTACAGGGTCCTCTGCAGACAGCTGTTTTCTTTCATTTGAAATTTATTTTTGTAATTTTCTTTTTAAAATACACTACTAGCTACAGATTTCTTTTACAGTACAAAACCAGATTTAAAGTTATAGTGCAAAATTGATCTTGTCCAGATTGATTGTTGTCTAGATTTTGAGAAGATGGAAGATGGTGTAATATATATTTCTGAACCATAGATAACCCTGGTGGCATAATGTGTAACTTGTTGAGTTACTAACTTAAAGATAAGGGGTTTGAATCCCCCAGGTGATCTTTAACCATATTCACCATGTTTGCTTTCACATTTTGTTTTAAAAAAAATAGTCAACATTTCACATGGGCGTCATTTTCTTAATTTTAAATGGACTATACCTTATTTTTACATTGATGTTAATATTATAGAGAATAATCACAAGTAGACTTCTCAAAATTCTGTTTCAGTACTTTATTGACTTTATTTTTAACACTTAATGGATTATTTAATATTCTTTATGTAACGGCTACTTTAGTAAATTAGATTGTGTGAGACATTAATATAAAGTGAAGAAAAACTTTGTAATGAATCATAAAAACTAACTGTATAAATTTTGAACTGCCTTTTAACTTGTAGTGTAATTATGGATATTAAAAATTTTGATATCTTTCAATTTTTCATTCCCCCAAAAAAACCCTCCCCCAGAGAAGCTACTGTCCTAGAGTTGAGTCTGATTCTTAGTAACCCTCTGTCAGATTTCTAAGGCTTTAAATCTTAAAGAGAAAACTTGCCTCATCTTCCTCCCAAGGGGCTTCTCAATGATTTGATCCTTTGACCTTTTGACTAATAGCCTAGCATGGAATATACAATGCCACCAGGACTCCTTAAGAAGAAAAGACAACTTGAAATAGTAAACAGTTTGTTTGATGCCCAAGATTTCTTTTTCCAATTACATGAGAAGAGGTAGTTCCATAGCTATAGTAAATGTTTTGGTAAATCATAAGAAAGTGATTTTGCAAATAACTGGGTACATCTTTCATTTAATTCAGAATGTTAGAATTTGTATGCAACTACTCTAAATCGCCAAAGTGTTGCATGTGCATCATTAGAACAAAGTTCTAATTAAGTCATTGTGTGACTTAATTAAGAAAAAGTTAAAAAAAAACGAAAAGAAAGGCAATATTGAACAGATTTGCCAACAAAATGAAAAATGACAGAAATTGTAGATTATTACAACTTTAGAACACTTCAGAGTTCATGCTAATGCTTGATAGGTATTTAGTGAAAGCCTCTTATATACAGGCACTGTGCTCAGACTGGATAATTTATTCACTTATCAGCAAATATTTGCTGAATGTCTTCACCTGCCAAACACTGTTCTTAGTTCTGAAGACAGAACAGTGAATAAGAGAGACCTCGAACTAACCAACCAAAAGATTCCTGTACTAATGCTGTTTACTTTCCTGAAAGACTGCCATGGTTAGCAAAAGAAGACATATTTATAAGCAAATAATGACAATACAGTGCTCAGTGGACATATGAACTATATATAATGCAAGCATGAAAGAGGTACAGGTCATTTTGGACACTCACTGATAGTAAGCCTTAGGCATTGTTTATTGCTGTTCTTTAAAGAAATATTTATTGGGAATTTATCAGTGTTGCAATAAACCAATGAATGAAACCGACAGTCCTGTAGGGAAGACAAACACATGTGTCCCAATCATATCTACTTCTTTTTGTTTGTTTGTTTTTGTTTTCTTTTTATTTTAATAATTTTAATGAACATTTACAGAGATTTTGGATTTCCATTCATTCATTGCTGTACTTCTCTCCCTGCCCAGCCGACCCCCCCCCTTCACTCCTCTCTTTGAAAAGTAAAAGAAAAACTCCCTCCCTGGTATACAGTCCCCCCGCACCCCTCCCCTCCCACTGCCCCAAGTACATTCCACTATGCAACCTTAATTGTGGACTCTTGTGATAACCATAATACCCTATCATGCATCGCTTTTAAATTATTCTCTCCCTCATCTGTTTCAGTGCATTATATACAGTTTTTCTCAGTCTTACCCCAACCCTGATATCAGTCCCATTTTACAGCAGTGGCACCATACAGTATTTGTCCTTTTGTGACTGAGATATTTCACTCAGCATAATGTCCCCCAGGCTTACCAATTTTTAATAATATTGCTTGAGTTCCTTGTTTTTCAATGCAGTGCAGTATTCCATTGTGTGAGTATACTACAGCTTCTCTATCCATTCGTTTGTTGATGGGCACCTGGGTTGTTTCCAACTCCTTGCTGTTGTGAACAAAGCCACGATAAACATGGGTGTGCATACATCTGCTTGGATGTCAGTTATGGTCTCTTTGGGATATATTCCCAGTAGTGGAATTGCTGGGTCAAATGGTATCTCTATTTGCAACTTTCTGAGAAAGTGCCATACCGCCTTCCACAGTGGTTGCACCATTTTACACTCCCACCAACAGTGAATAAGGGTTCCAGTCTCTCCACAACCTCGCCAGCATTTGTTGCTTGCTGTTCTGTTAAATTTTGCTATTCTGACTGGGGTGAGATGATACCTCATAGTTGTTTTGATTTGCATCTCTCTTAGAGCTAGGGATTTTGACCATTTCTTCATGTGCTTGTTGGCCATCTGAATGTCTTCTTTAAGCTGCTAGCACAACAGGACCGAGTGGCTCACAGTCACAAAACTCTATGCCTCTTACATACCTATCTAATGTTTACAACCTCTGTTTGAAGGCTTTAGAGATAACTGAGCTTTTGATAGAAATTTCCCCCCTAAATCTATATGAGAAGAATACTTTCCATATTAATCTTAATCTTAATGCTGGAATAAGGATTTTTTTAAAAAAATTTTTTATTTTACTGACCCTTTGTGGCAGAACACAATGTAATAATGCCATCTTGGTTATCTTACCAAGATCTTTATGCATGCATTTCCTGTCCGTGCAGTTATTAAGTGTGTTTATCCAGCAGATATAGTCAGCATTTATTTAGCTGCACTAACAGAGTGCAGCCTGACAACAGTATTTTAAAAATAATATACTTTTACTTGAGAAAAAGTATACTATAAAAGTAAATATAAAGGGGAATTACTAATTATCTTCCTCTAGGAAAGGATGGGCATTCTTCTCCCATGCAGTGTACTGCCTCTAAAAACCCACCGACAGGTCAGCTATGAGTCAATTCTGCACACAACAGCAGTAGTCTACTGAGAGTAGTACCTATGAGGGCCGCCTTCTTGCGTTCTGCTCTTTTTTATTGTTGTTAACATGCACATATCTCCATTCATTTATCTTTATTCAGTAAATATTTATTGAACATCTGTTAAGTACCAGAGACCATCTGGTGGTATGTGTAGTCCATTGCTCTGCTAACCTCAAGGTCAGCAGTTTGAATTCCTCAGCTGCTCTTAAGGAAAAAGATTAGCATTTACCTCTTATTTACATTTATTTACAAGATTTACATTTATTCATGCTGCTTTCAACTTCCCACATGGCTGACCCTCTTACATGTCTAATTAACATATCAAAACTATAATTCACAGTTTTCTCCACTATCACTAGTAGCCTATTCATCTCAGTTTTTCCAAGTAAATGATACCATCAGTTGCTTAAGAAAACAAAAACCTACAAGTCACCTTTGATTTTTCTGTTTCCTTCATTTCCCACACATACTAGTCTTCTGGAACTATCAGGCAAGAGATGAACACTTGAGAGCTTAAATAAGGTGCAAAGTTGAGAAAGTACATGTACATTTTATTATATATGAATTTTAAAATAGAAAATATAGAATGTAGTAGAAATGTGCTTTTGAGGATCCCTACTGACCTTTTTTTCCTTTTAAGACATTTTTAAAATTTCTTCATATTAAAATAGAAAAAGTAAATGGCACTATTGACTTAACTAAATTTTCAAAATAAAGTCTACATATTTTAAAATTAATCCAAAATTACCATAATGATCTAGAGCTTTTATGTGATCTAGAGCCTGAGTTACTGTTGAGCTTAACATGGACAGGCAAATATATCTTACTTATACATCAAATTATTTTTTAGAGAAATTCTAGAGATTTAGGTAAAGCTTAATAATCTTTTTAAAATAACTCTTCAGAGTGTCAGAGTCTTGAAGACTTGTTTAAACTATTGGTATTTACTGTGGAAGAAAAGCCCCTTACACATTATCTCAAAATGTTACCAGTTATATTATTATTCTGGTACTTTGTTGCTGTTGTTGTTATGTGCCATTGAGTCACCTGCAACTTTTAGCACGTACAACAGCCCTAAGCGACGTACAACAGCCCTAAACCCTGCTCTATTCCTTGACAATCTTACCGTCTCCAACACACCTATCCCCATTACCCCAGTGACAGAATCAATCCATCACATCGAGGGTCTTCCTCTCTTGTGTTGTCCTTCCACCCTCCCAAACGTGACATCCCTCTCCAAGGATTGGTCGGTCCCTCCTTGAATCATGTCCAAAGTATGTCAGACGGAGCTTCAGAATCCTTGCCTCCAAGTAGCATCCTGGCTTCACCCTCTCCAGGACAAACTTGTTTGTTCTAGGAGTTCATGATATATTAAGTACTCTTTTTTCCAGCACCAAAGACTCTCCTTCTATCATCCCTAGTCATTGTTCAGTTCTCTGATGCATAGCAAGTAATTGCAAAGACCATGGCCTGTATCAGGCGCACCTTAATCTCCAGGCTGACATCGTTCCTTCTCAATACCTGGGAAAGGTCTCTGACAGCAGGCTTTCCCACTGTGATTCCTGGCTGCTGGTACCTAGAGTGTTGATTGTAGAGCCAAGCAAACTGAAGCTGTGAACAATCTCAATCTCTTCACCATCTGTTATGATGCTACCAGTCGGCCCAGTGGTGAGACTCTGTTTTCTTGATGTTGAGCTTCAATCTATATTGAAAGATTCAGTCCTTGAACTTTTGCAGCAAGCACATCAGGTCCTCCTCAGTTTCAGCAAGCAGGGTTGTGTCATCTGCCTGATGTGGATTGTTGATGAGTCTACCTCCAATCCTGATGCCACATTTCTCCTCATAGAGCCTTGCCTCCCAGATAATCTGTTCTGCCATATAGATTGAAAAGATACGGAGCTAGGACACATCTTTGACGCTCACCCTTCTCAATTTTGAACCATGCAGTGTTTCCTTGCTCTATTTTGACAACTGCCTCCTGGTTTAAATATAAGTTTCACATAAGCACAATCATGTGTTCTGGTACTAGTGGGGGAAAAAATCAATAAAGAGGTTGCAAATAAATGTTACCATATTTAATAGTATATAATGTTTTATTTAATAAAACTAATGTTCTGGCCCAGGTTTTAATAGCCTCTAGTTTGTATACCCAGTAACGAGTGCATAGTATTTCAAAGGTAGAGCAGGATAAAATTCTTTTTATTCTTTTTTTATAGTCCAGTTTGCCTAATTTAGATTTTTCTTTTCTCAATTTTCTTTTATAGAGTAATTATTTGGTGTTCATGGCAGAACTCTTCTGGTGGTTTGAAGTTGTGAAGCCATCGTTTGTACAGCCTCGTGTCGTTCGTCCACAAGGAGGTAATCACTTTTTAAAAATATCTTTTTTTTCTATAACCAGATGAATAAATTGATGAATGGAACCTTCTCAGAATCAAATCCCTATGAACATCCAAAAACTTCTCCAGCAGGATAAAAAGAGAAGCCACAGATTGGGAAAAAATATTTGGTAATGACATGGCTGACAAGGGACTTATATCTAGAATTTATAAAATACTTGTGCACCACAACAAGGTAAAGGTAAATAACCCAGTTGAAAAATGGGCACAGGATATGAACAGACACTTCACCAAAGAAATTCATATGCCCAACAAATACACGAAAAAATGTTCAAAATCCCTAGCTCTAAGAGAGATGCAAATAAAAAATAACAATGAGATATCATCTCACCCCAGTAAGACTAGCAAAATTTAACAGAACAGTAAACCTCAAATGCTGGTGAGGTTGTGGAGAAACTGGAACCCTTATTCACTGTTGGTGGGAGTGTAAAATGGTGTGGCCACTAGGGAAGGCTAGATGGTGCTTTCTCAAAACGTTACAAATAGAAATGCCATTTGACCCAGCAATTCCAGTTACCCTAAAGAAACCATAAATGCCACCCAAGCAGCTATATGCACAGCCATATTTATTGTGGCTTTGTTTGCAGTAGCAAAAAGCTGGAAACAACCCAAGTGCCCATCAACAAGTGAATGGATAGAGAAGCAAGCTATGGTATATTCACACAATGGAATACTATGCTGCATTGTAAACCAAGGAACTCATGCAATATTATTCAAAATGGGTGAGCCTAGAGGACATTATGCTGAGTGAAATATCTCAGTTACAAAAGGACAACTGTTTCGTAGGGCCACTGTTGTAAAACGAGACTGACATCAGGGTTGAGGGAAGACAGAAAAGGAGGAGAGGAATGATGTGTATTGCATTGAAACAGTTGAGGGAGAGAGCTGTTTAAAAGGGACATATGAATGGGCATTCTTGTCATTACAAAAGTCCAGAGTGAAGGCTGCATAGTGGAGTGGACTTGAGGGAAGGGATTGCATAACAATGAAAGAGTTTTTCTTTTCAAGAAGAGTGAATTGGGGGGAGAGGTGAAGGAAAGGGAGAAAAAGAGTAACAATGAATGACTGGAAACCCTAAGTCTCTGTAAACTTTCATTAAAATTAAAAATATATATATTCCTAAAAAAAAAATACTTTTTTCTGTGTTAGTGAGTGTTTATACAGATGTTTATTTACTCATTCAACAATTTCAACACAAGTTGTTCAGCAACTTGATTACATTCTTCACATTGCATGAACATTCTTATTATTTCCATTGTATTTGCCTTTTCCATTCATCTAATTTCCCTGCACTCATTTTCATCTTTATTCAGAAAGGATCAGTAATCATTTGGTATCATATAAGAGATTTGGCAACCAACATTTTAAATTTTAAATGTAAATAGAAAAACATTTCAAGAGGGGAAACCTATCATTGTTTTAGGTTTCAATTCTTCTCCTTGATTCTGAATATTTTATATATTGTAAGCCATTGAATTCTCTAGTACAGACTGATGATTTATATAGGAAAGGAAATAAAGAGAATAACTGAATTTGAAGGCTTAACATGAGAAATTTTAGTTTAGACTTCTTACACACTTTGTTTTCTTTACATCTTTCACCCTCATCTTGAGTTGTTCCTCTTGGATTCTGAGGTTCCACAGTTCCCAAATCATAACTTGCTTTTTAAAATTTGGCCTTAAGCCATGTAAAATTATATACAAATATGTGTGTGTGTGTGCATGCGTGCGTGTAAGAAAGAGGGAAAGACCAAAATGTAGTAAGTTTATGATTATTAGAACATCATGATCTACTGATGGTACCTAACTAGAATAAAATTAATTAAGAATAAAATCCATTGAGGTCAAGTTGATTCCAGCTGATGGTGACACTCGGTATTAGAGAGCAGAACAGCTCCGTAGGATTTTCTTTGCTGTAATCCTTACGGAATTTGATTGCTAGGCCTTTCTTCTCTGGATAAATAAGTAAATTACTATTAAAATCCCTAAATATATATAAAGAAAAAAAATCTTAACTTTTCTCTATTTCATATGGTAAAATTTTAATTGGTTTGCATTATAAACCAGATGCTTATTTTCCTAGGGAAGGAAAAACTTATCTAGATAAAACTATAAGCTAAGCCCTACTAGAGAACTTCACTCCCACATAACTTAGTTATTTCTACCCCTCTAAGTGACACAAAACATGATTATTATGCATCCCAGCTACTTTAGCTGCTTTCCTTAGCTCCAAATTTTGCTATTCTAATCACTAGAATCACTTTATTCTACTTCTGTCCCAAAAAGGAAGGGAAAGGCCTCAAGTGGTAGGAGAAAATATCACCAAGGAGAAACATCATTCCAGTGATTAGCTGACATCAGGCAGCCTATTAAATCTCAGGCAAAACTCAGAAATATGTGATAATGAATATTTAATCTCTTCTGGTGTTTCTAAGCTGCTTTTGGCCGATCATGAGTACTGAGTCATTATATAACAGAATACCTAGAAAGACGTTACAATCCTACTCTAAGGCAATTAAAGAACATAAGATGTCTTTAATAATAATCCTAACCAATATTTTTACAATTTTTTTATAATTTAGCATAGAATTTTCTCATAATATTTAATATGTGAGCCCTCTATTCAGACTGGCTGTTGCCATAGAGCTCAAAGTAAGTGTAGTTTTTCTCCAAAGTTATTCCAGAAAGCTAAACTCTTATCAGTAGATTTAATGATTCTCCAATGAAATACTATCTCTGCATTAATTACCAAAATGCCAACTATTTCATTAAAAAGGCAGAGATGACCATACACAGTTGAAATTCTATGGCAGCTTTAGCAAAATGAAATACATTTCTTTTTATTGAAAACATACTTATTTTATAGTATGCCTTTTCCCTAATTAGCCTTGATAGAATATTCTTCATTTATAGCGACAATATTTCAGGCAGAATTTTTTTTAAAAATTAATGTTTTGAAGTATTTAAAATCATAACTTTTTATATTTTATAATTTAGTAAGTAGCACAGGATTTTGAGATTCTGTTTTAATCATTTACTTATGTTTTAGAAATCTTTAACTAATATTGCATCCATTCTAAGCATAAAATTTTTAAACTTCATCTCTTGCTCTAGCTGAACCTGCAAGAGATATGCCTTCAGCTCCTGTGTTGAATGCTGCCAAAAGGAATGCCATGAGTAGTTCTTACAGTTCAGACTTCACAAGGTAAGTCCAGTATAACTCCATTCTCACTATTTTCATATATCTCACTCATATGATCAAGCTAAAATGTTATTACATTAGATAAAAAGTGTTTTATTTCAGTTGTATGTTGAACTGAATTGATTTTTATTAGATTACTTTTTAAACGTTAGTGTAATTGGAAATTATAATGAAATTAATATTTCATAAATAAGCTTTTATGAACCATACTGAAATTGGGAAAATATCTTCTAAGGTCCAAAAAGCTACCTTAAAATCACACTTTTGCTGTTAATTTTTTCTTCTGTTTATCTTGTTTGTAATTGAGAACTGGCTATATGATATGTAGTTCTTGGGCCTTGGAGGGAAATTGAAAATTTTTGTTTGGGTTTAAACATTTTTTTAAATGCTCTTTCAAAATTTTTCAGATATTTCTCTTACTATTTTTTGAGGGTTTTTTTTCCTCATTACTTTTGTTATTATTGAGAATCACAGCAAAGTACTTACTATAATACTGAATCTTTATCTAGTGTTTTAGTCCTTAATATTAGGAACTGAACTGAATGCAAAGTTAAAATTTCCTACTATATAATACCGGAATCTCACCAGTCTGTGCCAGGAAGTTTGGAAGGGCTGGCCAACTGATTATAAAAGATCTATATTGGTTCTCATTCCTAAGAAAAGTGATAACAACAGAATGTGGAAATTATTGAACAATATCATTACTATCAAATGCAAGTGAAATATTGTTGAATTGACGGGTTCAAGGTGACTATAGCAGAGGCTCTGGCAACAGGAATATTATTGCTGGTGTTATGTTTGCTGAAAGCAAAAAACAAAAATCAGAAGAATGTCTTATTTGTGTTTTATTGACAATGCAAAGGCATTTATTTGACTGTGAATCATAACTATAGCTAACTTTGAGAAGAATGGAAATTCCAGAATACTTAATTATGTTATGCCGGGAAGCTGTTGTGCAAACAGAGCAAGGGAACACTGCATAGTTTAAAATAAAAATAGCTGTGCTTCAGGGTCTATCCTGTCTCCATATCTATTCAGTCTGTATGCTGAGCAATCATTAGAGAAGCAGGACTTTACGAAGAAGAGTGTGGCATCAGGATGAGGGGCAGGTTTGACAACAACCTGCATTATGCAGATGACACAGCCTTACTTTCTGAAAATGAGGAGGAGCACCTGAAGGGCTTGCTGCAGAGGACCAGGGACTGCAGCCTTCAGTATGGATTGCATCTCAACATTAAGAAAATTAAAATCTTCACCTCTGGACCAGAAAGTAGTATCATGATAAAGTAAGAAAAGATTGAAATTGTCTACAGTTTCATCTTGCTTGGATCTGTAGTTCACACACTTGGTGCCAGCAGTCAGGAGACTGGGATACCTACAGCCTTGGGGAAAGTCAGCTCTCAGGGACCTTTCTAAAGTCCTGAAGAATATTGGTGCCAGTTTAAAGACTAAGATATGCCTGATGCAAGCCACAGTCTTTCCAGTCACCCACCATGCCTCTAAGAACGGGACAGTGGATAAAGAGAAGAATTGAGGCATTTGAGTTTTGGTGTTGAAGAATACTAAATATCCTATGGGCTACCCACAGAAGAGACAGGTCTTAGAGACAGTGCAATCAGAGTGTTCCTTGCAGGCAAAGATGGTGAAGCTTCATCTCACATATTTTGAACATGTCCTTAGGAGAGTGTATTCCTTGGAGAGGAACGTCATGGCTTGGAAAAGTGGAAGGGGGGAAGTGAAGGAGGGGGAAGACCCTCAATAAGATGGATTGATAACCATTTCTGCAGCAGTGAGCTCGTGTGTCAAGGATGATGGAGATGGTATAGGATAGGACAGAGTTCAGATTTGTTGTTCGTAGGGTCTCTTTGAGTAGTACTCGACTCCATTCAAGGCACTGAATAACAACAGCCTCATCAGAATAATCTGGCCAGTTATGTAATAAGGACAATAGTTTGTTTAGAAATGTTTCTCTTGGGTCCATCTATCTCTACTCACCCCTACTGAAATCTTATAAGAAATTTTTCAGTGTATATTTATTTAAATTCAACTCAATACCAAATTGGAACCAACTCAAATCTTCAGAGAGTTTTTAGGAGACTCTCAATCACACAGGAGATTGTCCATCTTTTTCCCTGAGGAGCCACTTGTGGATTTAAACCACCAGAGAGGTGCACTAATGATTGAAACTCAAGCAGTAACAGCCCTTGCCAGACTCCTCACCTTTGTAGGGCTTCTAACCTGTATGAATTTTCTAATATTTATAAAGTATTTGCCACAAAGTAGAGATATGTCTTGGAGAGGGTACAGCTGGAGTGCTCTTTGGAGGCAAAAATGATGAGACTTTGCTTTGCCTCATATACTTTGAACATTTGCTAGGCAGGCCTGTACCTTGGAGAATGGCATGGTGCTGGGAAGGGTGGAGGGTTGGCAAAGGAGGGAAAGTCCCTCATCCAAGTGGATTGATACAGTGAATGCTGCAATGGGTACTTGTGTGTTATGAAATGTGAGGATGGCGCAGGGTCAGATCTTTTGTTCTTGGGGTCCCTATGATTCATACTTGACTGCATAGTACCTAACAACAAGAAAGGTTTTCCCTCTTTCATGTCTGATTTGTTACTATGAATCTTTTTACTGCGTCTGCCCTCTGACTTGCTACTATGAATCTTTCTGCTGTGTGAGGCAAGTTTTCTATCCCTGTAACTACCCTTGAGTTTTACTACCAAGAGGTAGGTTAGAATATTGCTCATCTAAAAGCATCTCTGTATTATTTGCCCATGGAAAACTTATTTTCTACATTGTAATATTTTCTCAGTGCTTTCATGAGTTCTCCAAATATTCAGACATTTCCTTCTCTGAAAATATGGAGAACACTCAAATGGTCTAGGTTTTCAGCTTTCCATTATTTAATTATTTAAATTTCTGAAACTTTGCACTTGAGACTTTCTGGAAATCTGAGTGGACAGCCTTCTAAATTGCTGACTCTGGAAAATGCCTTAATTTCTGCCTCATGAGAGACTTACCACCTTTCTCTCTCTGAGATACATAAATGGTTAGCTTTTCCCATTTTCCCTAGCATGTTGTTACGTGACATCCAGATGCGTGCAACTTATAGCGACCCTATGTACAACAGCTCTGAAACCTGCCTTCTCCTGAGCCAATCTCACTGACTCCCAACACATCTAATCCCATTGCCCCAGTTATCGTGTCAGTCCATCTTGTCTGGAGTCTTTCTTTCCTGCTCTGTCCTTCCACCCTTCCAAGCATGATTTCCTTCTCGCAGGTCTGCTTCCTTCTGGCCATGTGCCCAAAGTATGTGAGATGGAGCTTCAAAATATTTGTCTCCAAGGAGAAGCTTGGTTTCACCCTCTCCAAGACAGACCTATTTGTTTTATTGGCAGTCCATGGTATGTTCAGAACTCTTCTCCAGCACCAGAACCCAAAGGCATTACTATTCCTGTCATCGTAAGTCATCGTCAAGCTCTCTGAGGCATAGCAAAGACCATGGATCAGGGCTTTGGGTCAGGCGCACCCTAGTCTCTAGACTGACATCATTGTTCCTCGGCACTCCAGAGAGGTCCCTGACAGCAGACTTGCCCAGTGCAATTCTTCTTTTGCTTTCCTAACTACTGGTGCCAAGAGTTTAGGTGGTAGAGCCGAGCAAACTGTAATTGTTAACAACCTCAGTCACTTCTCCTCTATAATGGTGCTTCCAGTTGGCCCAGCGGTGAGAATCTTTGTTTTCTTGATGTTAAGCTGCAATCCATATTGAAGACTACAGCACATGCTTCAGATCTTCCTCAGTTTCAGCAAGCAAGGTTGTATGCATAATGCAGGTTGTAGCATAGCAGCTTTTCTTCATAACCCATGTATATGTCTAAATACTTTTTTTTGAAGAATCTTTAGTTTATAGTCATTCTGGGTTCCTAGTAACCTTTTCATATCTGTAGTCCTCTCATATGACCTCATTGTAGAACTTTTTGAGGGAGGATTCAGGAATTTATTCTTAGGAATACTGTAGTGACATCTTCAAATATTGGATTACCCAGATAATCATTTTACAAGAAAGGAACAACAAATGAAGAAGACAGGCAGAGATAAAGACTTTTCCGACAGCTAGTCTACATCCTTGGATAGAGTTGACCAGAATCCTCAATGTTAACGTATAAGTGAGGCAGTTATCAGATCTTTATAACACTTCGGACATTATTTAGGAAAGAAAATAGAGCACATTTTGCTGTCTTGTTTGTATCTAAGTTATAATGAGATGTTACCTGTCATCAAAGAACTGAAGAGAGCAGAAACTGAGAATGGCTTTCAAGGAAGGGGTTATAGAAACACACACAACAGGGGAGCAGTAAGAGAATTCTCTAATAGTTTTGGTAAGGGAGCTTACAAACACAACTAAGACAGAGTGTGGTAGGCAGCTCAGAAGGAAAAGGTCTACTTACAGAAACAGATGAACATTTACCCTGGACAGAGTGATGTTATGCAAATTCTTAAGTAGTGTTGCTCTGAGAAACTCATAAATTACGCTTTAATCAAATAAATAGTGTGGATATGGTGTTACAATTTACCCTTGAATTCTTGGATTGATTTATTGTCTCAGTTTATGTTAGCCAAAAGATAGTGGGGTTCTACAAACTATTTTTCCCTAGTTGAGGTGGGCAAGTTAAATTCCTTCACCTGACTACAAGGTGAAGAGGCATAAACAAATTTATAACTTAGAAAAATAAAGAGAAGAACGTTTGATCCAGGCTGAATGTCACTATCATTTGATAGACTCACTAGTGCCCTACATTAATTGGAATAGGGTAGAATTAAAGAAGTTGCAAGAAATCTTCTTGTCTATAAAGGCATTGAGGACTTGAGAGTATAGTGTGTTAGTCTTGTGAAAACATTGTATATAAAAAAGAGACAGGTCCTAGAATAGGGCTGCTACCAGAATTTATTACATCTGTGGGAATTTTGGGTTGGGGGGTTTTTTCCTTTATTTGAAATGAAAATATACCAGATCTCATCTCACAAAGGCATTGTAATATATATGAAAATACTTCACACTTTTTGGCTAAAAGATATAAAATAAATAGAAATGCATACATGATCATAGCCATTGCTTTAAACAATATACTTACCAGTTTGATTCTTAAAAAAAAAATTAGAAAGATAATTAGAAAATGATAATATTGTATTTATGGGATAAAATACATTCTTAACGTCTCAATTTCTTTTCCATGGCAGTGAGGAAGGAGCTGCATACCCACAGTCTCATCATCTGCCTTCTAGATATTCACGCCCCCAGGCTCATTCTTCAGCAGCAGGTATTGTATTTACAGGCACCTAGAAAAGTGTTTTAAAAAGACTTTAACTGAGAATTATTTTAAAAAATACATGAAGAAAAATAGTCTGTTTTTCAAAAAAGTGCCTATTGGGTTGGTGCTAAGAGTGTAATCTACTTTCCTGCACCACTTTTCCTAGTAAATAGTAAGTAATTCTCCAAATGTATCCACTTGCTTTTCAATACTGTTAATGAATCCTTAAGTATATGAGATGTTAAGTTGCTGTAAGTTAAAAATGTTCAAAGTTTTACAACTTTTTCTTTTTCATGTATAGGAGGAATCAGAAGGTCTTCATCTATGTCCTATGTTGATAGCTTCATAGGAACATGGCCCAAAGAGAAGAGGTAAGCAAAGGGAATACCTTTAGGATGTTTACTTTACCAAGTAATGCTAACTTTATCTCTCCTCACCCTGCCAACCTGTTCTTTTTTTGGGGTGTGAATGAGATTGCTATGTCTAGATGTTCCATTAGTATCTGAATTTGAAAAGACTCCATAGAATGATAGTTCCAAGTCAAGCAGGCTAAATTTAAGAAGTAGCTAGAAAGCTCTAACTTCCCTTTCGGACAGTATGATTAAATGATATGAGACGGACAGTATGATTAAATGATATGAGAAAGAAAAGAGAGAAAGTTTTAAATTAATTGTTGTTTAATGTTATCAAGAATTTCCATTTTAAAAAATTACTTAAGGACTTTCATTTCTTTTTTTAGATCATCAGTGCATGGAGTTTCATTTGATATTTCTTTTGATAAAGAAAATAGTGTACCAAAATCTGCTCCAAACAGAGGAATTACTCGTTCTATTAGTAATGAAGGACTTACTCTGAATAACAATCGTGCATCTAAACATATTAGAAAAAATTTGTCCTTCAAGCCAGTAAATGGAGAAGAGGAAGCAGAAAGCATTGAAGAAGAACTTAATGTAGACCCTCATGGTGACCTCAAATCTTATGTGCCCCTTAATACAAATGAACTAAATTCTAACGAGAATATTCATTATAAGCTTCCAAATGGAGCTTTGCAAAATAGAGTCCTTCTCGATGAGTTTGGCAATCAGATCTTAACACCAAGTATTGAAGAAGCATTACAAATAATTCATGATACTGACAAGTCTCCACACACACCTCAGCCAGACCAAATTGCTAATGGCTTCTTTCTTCATAGCCAAGAAATGACTATCCTAAATTCAAATATCAAGCTAACTCAATCCAGCCCTGATAACGTATCTGATACGAAAGGTGCCTTGAGTCCCGTAACTGACAATACCGAAGTAGACACTGGAATTCATGTTCCTTCAGAAGATATTCCTGAAACCATGGATGAGGATTCTTCTTTGAGAGATTATACTGTCAGTTTGGACTCCGACATGGACGATGCGTCTAAATTTCTTCAGGATTATGATATGAGAACCAGCAATGCCAGAGAGGTTTTGAGTCCTTGTCCAAGTACAGTAAGTACTAAGTCTCAGCCAGGCAGCAGTGCTTCTTCTAGTTCTGGGGTTAAAATGACCAGCTTTGCTGAACAGAAATTCAGGAAACTGAATCACACTGACGGAAAGAGCAGTGGAAGCAGCTCTCAGAAAACTACGCCAGAGGGTTCAGAACTTAACATTCCACATGTGGTTGCTTGGGCACAAATTCCAGAAGAAACCAGCCTTCCACAAGGACGGGATACTACCCAGCTCTTGGCTTCTGAAATGGTGCACCTTAGGATGAAGCTCGAAGAGAAACGGCGTGCTATAGAAGCCCAGAAGAAGAAAATGGAAGCTGCTTTTACAAAACAGAGGCAGAAAATGGGAAGGACAGCATTCCTGACTGTGGTGAAAAAAAAAGGAGATGGGATTTCTCCTCTTCGAGAGGAAGCAGCTGGTGCAGAAGATGAGAAAGTATATACCGATCGTGCCAAAGAAAAGGAGCCACAGAAAGCTAATGGGCAAAGAAGCAAGTCTCTGGCTGATATAAAAGAAAGCATGGAGAATCCTCCAGGCAAATGGCTCAAGTCTCCCACCACGCCTGTGGATCCTGAGAAGCAGTGGAACCTGGCAAGCCCCACAGAAGAAACTCTGAATGAAGGAGAGATTTTAGAGTACACAAAATCCATTGAAAAGTTAAATTCATCTCTGCATTTTCTCCAACAAGAAATGCAACGCTTGTCACTTCAGCAGGAAATGTTAATGCAGATGAGAGAGCAACAGTCCTGGGTGATTTCCCCTCCACAGCCCTCTCCACAGAAACAGCTGAGGGATTTTAAACCTTCCAGGCAGGCGGGTTCATCATCTTCCGCTGCACCGTTCTCCTCAGACTCCCCTCGCCCTGCTCATCCATCTCCACAGCCTTCTAACAGGAAGAGCTCATCTTTTTCTATTAAAAATCAAAGGACTCCTAGGCCAAATGACTTAAAAATAACACCTTTGAATCGAACCTTGACACCTCCTCGGTCTGTGGATAGTCTTCCTCGATTAAGGAGGTTTTCCCCAAGTCAGGTTCCTATTCAGACGAGGTCTTTTGTATGTTTTGGAGACGATGGAGAACCTCAGTTGAAGGAAACCAAGCCAAAAGAGGACATTAAAAAGGAGGAATTGGAATCCAAGGAAACTTTGGAACAGCATGAACAGAATCCGGACGAAAAGGAGATAAAACCTTTGGAGTCCACAGTGTCTGAAGTTCTGTCCCAGCCTATCACAGAGACTGTTTGTCTAACGCCAAATGAGGACCAACTCAGTCAGCTCACAGAACCACCCCCAAAACTCATTTTCCCAACTCCAGCACCGAAAAATGTTAATCTGATTGAAGTTTCCCTGTCAGATTTGAAACCTCTTGAAAAGGCTGATGTATCTGTTGAAAAATATGATGGAGAAAGTGATAAGGAACAATTTGATGATGACCAGAAAGTATGCTGTGGATTCTTTTTTAAGGTAATCCTAATTTGTTTAGTTATGTGTATACTCATTAGAAGGAGATGTTTATGGTGTTTTTCCCCCCTTGTATTTTCAGTGATAGTTACATTAACTTGTAATTTCTTAGAGACATTGGTTACATTTTCAAAATTCTTTAACATTCCCATGAATTCCCTTTTAGGTGTTTTCTTTCAAAAATGTGGTTTCCCTGCCTTCTTAACCTTTTCACCGTTGCCTTAGAGAAATTGAGCATCTGGCCTCCACACGTGAATTTTTTTTAAAAAATTATTACATTTTATTAGTTTTAATGAACATTTACAGAGATTTTGGGTTTTCATTCATTCATTGTTGCACTATTTTCTCTACCCTCCTCCCCAGTTCGTTCTTCCTTCCCCCCCCACC